TGCTACCAAAGATAGCATCTTTTACCCTCCAACTCCCTGAACTGCTGTTCCTTCCTGGAATGGCTGGCTGGCAAATCTCCTACCTGGAAATCTTTAAAATACTAGAGTTTTGTCAGACTAGGAATTCAGAGAAATGCTAGAATGTGGTTAGAGAATGGTAAGAGGTTGTAATTCTCTCTGCGATAAAGGACAACTTCAGAATGTAATAAAAACTTGTATCTGCATTACGTGTTTCTGTATCTGCCTCCCCTGAGCCTTGTCTGCCGCTAAAGGCTCATTTCAAGCCCTTCCCTCAAGCACTGGTTGTTCTTCATCTTTTTGCCATGTGTTTTATCAAGTACTTTCCAATGTTCCTCATTCTGAAACATTTACTGTGATACCATTCTCCACCTTCTTGGGCCATCAAGAGAGGCTGCTGTCCTCAGGGAGCCTTCCGTGATTTCCCTGCTGGAGTGAAGGGCTTTTCCTCTGGCTTCTTGGCTTATTCCAGTCTAGCTCTTAGGCTGGATTGTACTGTTGTTTATTTTAACTAGACCTAAGCTCTTAAAGAGCTTGTTTTGTTTTGTCATCTTTTGTTTTTCTGTTTTTAAAGGTTTATTTATTTGAAAGAGGTACAGAGAGAAATCTATCTGCTGGCTCACTCCCCACATGGTGCAACAGCCAAGACTAGGCTAAAGTCAGAAACCAAGAGCTTCAACGAGGTCTCCCTCATGGTGACTGGGGCCCAAGCGCTTGGGCCGTGTCTGCTGTTTGCTCAAACACATTAGCAGGAAATTGGATCGGAATAGGAGCAGCCATGACTTGAAATTGGCAACCAAATGAAATTGTAGCACTGAAGGAAATGCCATTACCTACCGCTGTTTTTATACAATGTGTTCTCAAAACATTATCCCAAGACCCCAGCGATGCATTGTCTTGCATTGTCCGAACAGGGAGCAGTAGGGCTGCTGCCTCCTCTGTCCTAGCTGTGTTGCCAGTTAAGCAGCTGAAGCCCCGTGGCTGTGCTGGCAGCACCTCTGGTGACATCTCTTCCCCAGCAGTTGGTGGTGAGCTGGAACTCCCTACATCTGTTGTATGTTGAATGAATTGCTTCAGAACCGTTCAGAATACCAGCTTTTCCAGGAAGCCTGTCTTAGCTTGTGCCCCAACATCTCTCTCCTGAACTTGTTTGTCAGTACTTAGTGGTTTGCATGACTACCCAATTCGTGCACTTGTTTCATTCAATTCCTGCAAGAGATGTCAAGACAAAAGCTTCTGTTATTTTGTTCTTTTCATAATAGCAGGGACAAGTGCTTGAACAAACCAGCCAAATTTTATTTTTAAATTCTATTAACATGTAATGCCTGTGTATTTTGTCTATTTTCTTTTTAAGATTTATTTTTATTACAAAGTCAGACATACATAGAGGAGGAGAGATAGAGAGGAAGATCTTCCGTTCGATGATTCACTCCCCAAGTGACTGCAATGGCTGGTACTGTGCCGTTCCGGAGCCAGAAGCCAGGAACCTTCTCCAGGTCTCCCACACATGGATACAGGGTCCAAGGCTTTGGGCTGTCCTCCACTGCTTTCCCAGGCCACAAGCAGGGAGCTGGATGGGAAGTGGGGCTGCTGGGATTAGAACTGGTGCCCATATGGGATCCCGGCGCATTCAAGGTGAAGACTTTAGCCACTAGGCCACCATGCCGGGCCCTCTTATTTTATTTTTTAAAGATTTATTATTTATTTTGATTAGAAAGTTGGATGTACACAGAGGAGGAGAGACAGAGAGGAAGATCTTCCATCCGCTGTTTCACTCCCCAAATGGCCACAGTGACTGGTGCTGGGCCAATCTGAAGTCAGGAGCCAGGAGCTTCTTCTGGGTCTTCCACGTGGGTTCAGGGTCCCAAGGATTTGGGCCATCCTCAACTGCTTTCCCAAGCTATAAGCAGGGAGCTGGATGGGAAGTAGAGCTGCTGGGACAGGAACCGGCGCCCATATAGAGATTTCAGTGTGTGCAAGGGGAGGATCCAACTGCCAGGCTACTGTGCCAGGCCCTTGTTTTATTGTTTAAAATATTTATTTTTATTGGCAATCAGATTTACAGAGAGAGCAGAGACAGATAGATGATCTTTCATCTGCTGGTTCACTCCCCAAGTAGCCACAATGGCTGGATCTGAGCTGATCTGAAGCCAGGAGCTTCCTTCCTTCTGGTATCCCATTGTGTGCAGGGTCCCAAGGCTTTACTGCTCCCAGGCCACAGGCAGGGAGCTGGATGGGAAGCAGAGTAGCCGGGATACAAAATGGTAACCGTATGGGATCCTGGCACAGGTAAGGCATGGACTTTAGCCACTAGGGTCACTGTGCTAGACCTGTACCTGTATATTTTAAAGGGTACAGGGCAGGGCAACAGTTAAACAATGTACATAGCTTCTACCAACTGTATTAGGGAGCCAGATTGTATTTCCTTTTCTTTGGACTCTATTGGCTTTATTCCAGTTCTTTTTTTTGTTTTTTTAAGATTGATTGATTTTTATTGGAAAGGCAGATACACAGAGGAGGAGAAACAGAAAGGAAGATCTTCCGTCCGATGGTTCATTCCCTAAGCAGCTGTAACAGCCGGAGCTGAGCTGACTCGAAGCCAGGAGCCAGGAAGCCTCTTCTGGGTCTCCCATGCTGGTGCAGGGTCCCAAAGCTTTGGGGCGTCCTCGACTGCTTTCTCAGGCCACAGGCAGGGAGCTGAATGGGAAGCGGAGCCACCAGGATTAGAGCGGTGTCCATATGGAATCCTGGTGCTCAAGGCAAGGACTTTAACCACTATGCAATTGCGCTGGGCCCCCTATTCCAGTACTTTATATAGGCTGTAATATATAACATTACCAGCAGATGGCACCGGATTCCCTGCCTCTGGCAAGCTAGTGGTTAGAATGCTAGTTAGTGAAGTTTAACCTAACCACTAGTGGCCGCTCGTTGCCTGCTCGTACCTCTGGTATTCAGATGGAAATAAAGAATGAGGGATCTTTCTGAAGTTTTTTGAAAATATGTATCCACAAAATCACATGTATCTCAAGTGTTTTCGTATCAAAATGCTTTGAATTCTATTTTCTATCACCTTTTGGAAGTTCATATTATAAAACAAGAAACACAGGTCATAAATCCAGTCATTCTCTTACTGTGTGTGACATCCCAAGTTGTGTCTTAACCAAAATGCAGTTGCCCATCCCTCTTTACTTTAGAATTGTTTACAAATGTGTATTTGACTTGTAAAAATTCGGTGCGTTTATGGGGTGCCTGGTGATGTTTTTAACACATGTATTCATTTTGTGTTGTTCAAACCATGGTTACCCTACCTAGCTCCTGAAACTTTTCTCATTTACATATATACTTACTATGTGTATATAATGGTATATTATGCCAATTTTATAGATAGATATAGTGTTAATGTTTTAAAATTTCATCTGATGACATCAGGAAGAAAACCTTCGTTTAGCACTAATTATCTTCTCATTTTATCCCTGCTACTCTCCTAAAAGGAGTCTCATAATTAAAGCATTGTGGTTAAAACAAAGGCTGTGTGGTTTAGGGATGGAAGTAGGCACGAGGAGCAGGGCATTGGTCACTACTGCAGACTGCCTAGAGCTGTGGTGTGCATTGGAAGCTCTTGAGGTAACAAGTGTGGGTTAAAACTCTGAAGGCTGTGAAGTAAAGTGGAAGTGTGGGCGCAGGCGTTCAGTCTGGTGACTAAGGATTCTGCCGGATTTGACTCCGTGCTCTGGCGCCTGACTCCAGCTTTCTGCTGTTGCAGGCAGGGGCAGTGGAGGTGGCCCAGGTAACCGGATGCTTGCTGCGTCCATGGGAGAACTGGAGGGATTGTCTTGGATTTGGTCTGTCTGCAGTCCAGCTGGCTGTTCCAGGCATTTGGAGAGTGAACCAGGGATAAGTGTGTGTGTGTGTGCACATAGCTCTCTCTGTTTCTTTCTCTCTCTCAATTAAAAAAAAATTGAGATTGAGTTTTTTTAAAATGAGAAATGTAGCCTCTCTCATAAGGAATCTTACTTTTCGTTTATTATCAAGTTCGTTAGGGACCTGTTAGACACTTTGCATTCCATAAAGGAAGCCAAGGAACACAGCGTATTCACGGCCTCCAGGGAGCTTAAATATTCAGGTGGAAAATGAGTCTAGCCTCGTCTTCTAAGCAAGCAGTGCAGTGACATCAAGAAAAGCCTTCCAGAATCCTAGAAATCTGAGCAGAGGTTTCCCCTGTCTTGGATGTGATGTTATCAGGCAGAAAGTGAGATGGTTTTAACCTGAGAGGGACTATGTGACTTGAAGGTATGGGGAATGGGTTGAAACAGTTCTCAGATTTGTAGTTTGGACCTTTTAAAGGGACATTTAATGGCCTGACTAAGGATGTTAGTTCCTAATCTATATGCAGGGGACTTAGAATTTTTCAGACCATACGTTAGAAGTAACACTTGGTCTCCCAGAAGGATTAGGTGGCCGCCCTTGCAGGGAGACTTACAAGTGTATTTTTGCCTGGTAAGAGGCATCAGGGGCTCAAATGGGAATGTATCTAAGAGATACATTCTGATGGCTTATTTAGGGAGAGAGAAACTAATCCTCTCCTTGCAAGTACTGGGATCCTATATTGCCACCAGCTTGTGTCCTGGCTGCTCCACTTTTTATCCAGCTCCCTGCTTGTGGCCTGGGAAAGCAGTGGAGGATGGCCCAAAACCATGTGGGAGACCAGAGGAGGTTCCTGGCTTCAGATTGTCTCAACTCCAGCTGTTGCTGCCGCTTGGCCAATGAACCAGTAGATGGAAGATCTTTTTAAAAAAATCTTTGATTAAGATAGTCAATGAGACTTGGAAGAGAGGAGTCAAGCTTGGTCCCCAGTTTCTGACCTTGATCATTAGTAAGGTTGCCTTCATCCAAAGTTGTAAGTGTATGGGAGGTATTTCGGCCCGTGGACTGGGTTGTGGCAGGAGCTGGCTCGAGCTGAAGTGCTTGTATTTGTGTTTCAGATGGTGACCCTCTTTCAGATGTGGGTTGTCCCCCTCTATTTCACAGTGAAGCTGCGCTGGTGGAGGTTCCTAGTGATCTGGAGCTTCTTCTCTGCTGTCACAGCCTTTGTCACCTTCCGAGCCACACGGAAACCTCTGGTACAAACAACCCCAAGGTGAGCGCTGGTTTCCTGAGGCTCATGGGTGGGGATGCCTGGGAGGCAGTTGGTATAGATGGGAAAAATCTGCTTTTGCCTACTGTAATGATTTAGTTCAGGCCCTCTCCTGAACAAGCTGGTTGGGAGACCCATCCCTGTATCCACTGATGAACAACCAATATATTTCCCTACAGCTCATTTTATGGTTTAAGCAAACAAAATCAATAAGCAGATCTTGGTGATTAGTATGGTCTTATTTTAAATGTTATTTTCTTCTGTCAACACTTCTCTGAATTATATTTTCCATTACATTCTCTCATAATACCCTGTAGTTTTCATTCACAGAGTTTATCACAAGTTAGAACTAAATATTATTTTGAGTATTTGTCTCCCCCACTAAACTTTGGCCAAGAGTTCAGGAACTACATCTATTTTTTGTCTGTCACTATATATCTAGGACTTACCACTGGGCTTGTCATTTAGGAACTTAACTGTCAGTTTTTATTGAATGAATGAAATTCAACCAATATGCAAATTTCCAACAAACAGTACTTCTTTCTTAGATAACAAAACAGCTCCTGCCTGTATAATCAGACACATTTCATTTGATACTTCCAAGCAACTTGGTGAGGTCATTTTACGTTTGTACGTGACTCAATTAAAAAAGAGAGAGATTTTCTTATTCATGCAGTACTCAGCTGCTGTGTGCCAGGCTCTGTGCTGAGTGCTGGGGATTCAGAGCTGGATAAGACATGGCCTCTGCCCTCAAACAGTGGTTTAATGGAGGAGATGGATGAGAAAGCACCTGTTGCAGTGCATTTGGTAAGTGATGTGAGAAAGGTGTCCTTCCCAGGACAGCCTGCCAAGAACTGGTTGGCCGGAACATTTTGTCCAGCTAGTGTGTAGTCTTCCATGTCGTAAACTGATGTTCCTCCCTCACCTCTGATGTCCACTTTATTGCACTGCTTCCTCTGACCTCTGGGTTTGATTGTACAGTTGGTGATCCAGAAGCTGCTGTTTTGGTTTGTAGCTGACTTCTGGCTGTTATAGAAGAGAACAGGCTCTGAAGCTGGATGGATAAGGGTTAGAACTCCGTGCCCTGCCACTTGTTAGCTCTGTGGCCTGATCTCTGAACCTGATGCAATAAAATGGGCAGAGTCTTCAACAAACAGGATCAGCGTCTAGCTAACATGACTGAAAACATGTCAATAATATGAGAGTTTTTGTAATAATAACCAACACTTAATAATGCTTTACAGTTTTAAGCATCTCATTTTAAAAATTTATTTTTATTGGAAAAGCATATTTAGAGGGAGAAGGAGAGACAGAGAACTTCCATCCAGTGGTCCACTCTAAATGGCTGCAATGCCTGGCGCTGAGCTGATTCATAGACAGGAGCCAGGAGCTTCTTCCAGGTCTCCCACGTTGGTGCAGGGTCCCAAGGTATTCTGACATCTGCTGCTTTCCCAGGCCATAATCAGGGAGCTGAATGGCAAGTGGAGCATCCAGGATACAAACCAACTCATGGGATCCTGGAGCTTGGAGGTGGAGGATTAGCCAGTTGAGCTGTGACATACGGCCCCATCCTCATTTCCTCAAAATCCTCATTTTTTTGTAAAACACAACACTTAATGAACTTGATTATGGGCTCTATATAGTACAGTGAGGGAGGCAGTGTGACTTCCCTATTTTACAAGTAAGTAAACTAATTTTGGAGAGATGGTACGATTTACCTGAGGTTACCCAGCAAAGAAACACTCTTTAATTCAGACTAAGAGTTGTGTGGTCCAGGAGTCCACATCCTTTCCCCTGTGTCTCTCCCTTGTGATTAATACAAGCCCTGAGTAATGAAACTGTGTGTGATCCCTTTGAAGACAGTGCTACAAGGTGTGTGGGGCCTTTCCTACGCTGAGGAGCCACTGTTGCTTTCCTGGCCACAGCAGGAAGGGAGCTAGAGCCTCCTCCCTGGGTCCCGGCAAGGTTGGCTTCTGTTGGTTGGTTATTCCAGGATATTGTCACGTTGCTCATTAGCTCTCAGCACATACAGAGTGATGTTTCATGACATTAGGGACTTATATTTAAAAGGTTCTGATTCATTCAAGAAATGCTCTTTGCTTTCTTAATCCAGATGGTCAGCCATCCAGATTCCCACCACTCTTGATTGGCTATGGGACATACGGTTCTCCTCCAAGGCCTGACAGTCCTGTCCGCCCACCGCAGCCACATCTACGCATAGATGTCTAACTCCAAGATGCTTTTGAGTGCCTGCCTCTTCTTTACATCTTCCCCTTCAGGAAAAAACAAATTCAGAAGCCAAATCCTTAATTATACTATAGTTAGGAATAAAAGTGCTCAGAATAACTAGGCCTAAGAACAAAAGACTGTAACTAATACCTCCCTCTGGTTTATTTTTCCCTGAATTTTCTTTCCTGACAAGAATAACCAGCCTTGCTCCCCTGTTCTCTGGTGTGTTGCTGTGGCTTTAGTTTTCACTTCTCCATCCAGCTAATCTGAATTCAAGATAGTGTAATTGTCTGGGGCAGCTGTGCTCTTTGAGGCTGGAACCTCCTGGGCTCTGCTTTCTTCCTTTTGACTGAGACCAGAGAAACATCAAGAAGTAGTGCCCTGCTATTGCTATATGGAGGTGTTTTGCAAATATGGAAGTGCATAGCTTTGAGCAGTGATTGAAGCTGCTCAGTAAGTGCTGGTGGTCCACAGGCCCCTGTGGCCAGTGATTCGGTGTGAAATACACTAACAGAATCTCTTTTTTCTAGGTTGGTGTATAAATGGTTCCTGCTGATCTATAAAATCAGCTATGCCACTGGCATCGTTGGCTACATGGCTGTTATGTTTACCCTCTTTGGTCTTAATTTATTATTTAAGTAAGTATGTTTTTGTTTTTGTGGATGTTTGGGAGAATAGTAGATGGGGAGAAGGACTTGCTGTCTCAAGTTCTGGGCATTTACAGAGACTCCCTGGGAAAATTGGAGAGGATGGTCTTCTGTGGTTTGTGCTGACAGAAATTGTATGTATGAAGTCACAGTTCCGCATCATTGACAATATTTTTTGAGAGTTTATGTTTTAGTAGAAAATTATAACACAGTAAGCGTTAGATCATAATCCACCATCCATAGTGCTGTCACTCCAGTAGAACCATTGTTCTTGTCTAAGTGCATCAAGTATTACAATACCTACTCTCCTTAGTGCTTTATATCCAAGAAGCCAAGGGATCCGCAAACTATACACACACTGTAATATAAAATAAAGTTTTACTGAAACACAGTCATGCTCATTTAGTGTCTACTTCTGTTTTTATACTGAAGAGTTGAATAGTTGTGACAGATGTCGTATGGACTACAAAGCCTAATGTATTTATTATGTGGCCCTTTATAAGAAAGGGTTCTCTGACCTTTGGGCCAGATACTTGAATTCAGTCAGAGTTGGCCACACTTGGCATCTGGGCCACTTAAGAGGATGTCAGACAGGGAGCGCTGCAAGACAGTGGCTGCAGGAGTCTTCAGAGTAGCTGCAAAGCTGAGGTATGCAGGAGTGAGACCTCTCAGACTGATGTGGAAGTCCAGCTGGCTTGGGAAACCCTTCCCCAAGGGCCATGTTCAGTTTTAAGAATGTCCCAGTCCAGATGCTGAGTACCAACTACACGTCATGTTTAGTACAAAAGCATGTTGCCTGTAACAGCTGATATTCCACCTTTGTCAGATTTCTGAGGAAATAATTTTAGAAAATTAACCTGGGGGCATGTAAGTCTTTTTCCATGGGTAGGCATCGCCGGCTGTTGTCAGTTTAGTGCTATACAGATAACCCAGCTAGACATGCTTCCCATGGACACGTTTCTAGGAGTGGGATGGTGGCTGTTGCTTCTTGTCATGAGATTTCCAGAAGCTCTGTACCAGCATTCAGGTCCTCTGGGACCCCAGGGGAAACTGACGCAGGAGGTTGTGAGGTTGGAGCTGAGAGGGTGCAGTGAGTCAGTGGGACAGAAGATGGCAGAAATGAGTTTTCCTGGATGAAGTAATTGATGGTAGCTGTGGACTACAGAGCATGAGGAGGCCTAAGACCAGGACATTACTTGAAGCTGAAGAGATTTAAGATTCAAATTTAAGTTGAAGACCAAGGACCTCTTCCCCAAGCCCAGTGTATTGTAGGCAGAGATGTCTTTGAAATGAAAAGATGCTAATTTAGGGTAAGAGATGAGGAATCCTATATGAAGTGAGGAGCCACATGGAACTTTTTCTTCCATATGTGGTACAAGCTGAATGAATAAAGAGAATCTAGAAGCATTCCAGGGAATTCATCAAAACAAAGATATTTGTAGGCATCTTCCTAACCTTTGTGGTCTTAAAAACAATACAAATGAAGATTCAACATTATGTTTTAAAGATATTTCTTTTGTAATTAGAGGTTCTTTTTGGTTGCCTAAATTATATAAAAAGGAAAAGTAAAATTTAGACTTGGTCATTTTATGATACTGATTAGGTTAACTGATATGAGATCTAATGTGGCAGTGGGTAAGCTATTATAAAGTTAATGAGTAAACTAAGACAAATGTAATATATAGTTTTAAATGAACACATTCAGTTTTTGCAGATATTTTTAACAAAGAGAATTTCCTATTAAAAACATGGGTTCAGGCCTGGTGCAATAGCCTAGTGGCTGAATTCCTTTTCATTCATGCACCAGAATCCCATATGGTTTGTGTCTTGGCTGCTCCACTTCCTATCCAGCTCCTTGCTTGTGGCCTGGGAGAGCAATAGAGGACAGCCCAAGCCTTGGAACCCTGCACCCATCTGGGAGACGTTAAAAAAGCTCTTGGCTCCTGGCTTCAGATCAACTCAGCTCTGGCCATTGTGGCTACTTGAGGAGTGAACCAGCGAATAGAATATCTTTGTCTCTCCTCTCTATAAAATAAATAAATAAATTTTTCTAATAATAATAAATCTTTTTAAAATGGGTTCAAGTTTATAAATAGTCCTTGGAATGATTAGAACAGACCTCTTTATATAATAGACCATTCTTACTCATGTTAGTAAATTAACTTGGAGCAAAATTTAACTTGGATGCGTCTAGCAACTAAGAATTTTATGGTAAATAGTGTATAAATACTTCCTCACTAATTTTAATGGTTTTTCTTTAACCCATATTGAGCAAACTCTGTGAGACTTACACAGAATCCACAGTATTATGTAGGAACTCAAGACAAAAGAAAAAGGCTCTTCTGGCCAATCTGCCTGGAGTGGGCACAGGGCAGTTGGGGCATACTGTGTGCCCCGTCACCATCTGCTGAACATTCCCCAGAAAGGGGTCAGGCGGGGGTTTGGACCACTCGGATCATCTCCTTTTACTGTGGTGCCGCTCGGATCCTAGCATGGGTTTCCTCCCTCCCGGTGGAGGGTCTGCTGTGTTGCCCTGGGCCTCTGGCTGGGCATGAGGCAACTCCGTGAGTGAGTAGATTGTAGACTGAAATTCCACTCCTTGATGTTCAGCAACTGACAGCAGTGGAGTCCTCAACTTGGATCTCAGTGAGTGCAAGCCCCGGGCAGCTTTAAGGCCTGATCACCAGTCAGGGGGATGTAGGAACTGGGAGCAGCAGTGGGCCAGGGGGTCAAGGGGATGATCTGGCCTGGACTTTGTAGCTCACAGTGCTGGCTTCCTTAGGGCGGGTCATGGGCCATTTGAAAGCAGGTAGTAGACTGGACTTAGTTTTGTTAGGACTTGCCTTAAGCCCTGCCTTATGTGTTGCAGAGTGATCCAAAGCAGTTATGTCTAGGTCAGGCCTTATTGTCAGTACTGCTTCTCTTACAGGATCAAACCCGAAGACGCCATGGACTTTGGCATTTCTTTACTCTTCTATGGCCTTTACTATGGAGTTCTTGAGCGGGACTTTGCCGAAATGTGTGCTGACTACATGGCATCTACCATAGGGGTGAGTTCAGCTAGATGCTTTACAAACTTTTTTTTTTCATTTACTATAATTTTATATGAAGAGATAAGAGAATGGTCTTATGTTTGTTAGTTCACTCCCCAAAGTCAGGAGCAGAGAATTCAATCTGGTCTTTTGTGTAGCTGGGCAGGGCCCTAACTACTTTGGCCATTATCTGCTGTCTCCCAGAGTGTCCATCATCAGGAAGCTAGATGTCAGGCAAGCACTGTGATTTGAGATGTGGGCATCTCAAGCAGTAATTCTCCTGCTGTACCACATGCCTGTCCTGCCTGGGTTCATCATTCTGTCTCCTGTTCCCCTGCATTGTTTAGGCCAGTATGACTTGCATGATGGAAGAGAAAGGTACTGAAGGATGAGGTAAGCTAAATTGGATCCTTCAAGCTGTGGGTGGTACACTAAGGATTTCCACCTAAAACTGGAAAGCCAAATCTCAGACGATCCTTTGACTAAATTTTCAAATAGTTAAAGGAAAAAACTACTTTATTCGGTAGGACATTAACGTTCAGTAAATCCCTTTCTTCAATGCCTTTTTTATTGAGCCTTGATACATTGTTATGTGCTGGAATTATAAAAGTGTACAAAAATGAGCATTGTACTTTGTCAAATAGAATTTAGTTGCTAGTGGAAGTCATGAATATTAGAGTAATTAGCAGTCCTCCAAACCTGTGAAATTACAATGTTAATGAATACTGTAAAGGAGACATTCACGATCCTATGAACAAATATAGTAGTGACATTAGATCTAGTCTTAGGACTCAAAGATCGCTTCCCGAAAGGAGTGACTATTGAGCTGACTTGAACAAGGAGTAGGAGTTAAGTAACAAAACAAAAGCATGTACCACATAGAGAAAATTACATGTGGCAGAGCTGTGTGTGAGAGCAGCAGTGAACATAGTTTTGAGAAACTCAGGCTAGTGTGGTTGTACAACAGAGAGTGCTGTGAAAGTGCGAAAAAGTGGGCTGGGCTAGAAGAAAACCTTAGAGTTGAGTACCAGTAGCACTTCAAGTCTGAGGTGGAGATGGACTTTATCAGACTTCCATTTGCCAAGATCATTCTGACTGCTGAATGGAAGACAGATTGGAGCAAGGTCTGCAGGTTAGAGGGAACCTCTTGTGAGAGAGTTGTGGCCATCTGGACAACACACATCTGCTCGAGTTAAGGGAGAAATGGTAGCAAGGGAGAGAAGTGGACATTTTTGTTAAGTATTTTCATTGTGGCGTAGATGTAGTTTGATTCTGGTGACTAAATGAAAAAATACGAGGGAGATGTAGAGAACAAAGCTGATGTATCTCACTGGGCAGAGGCAGGTGAGAAAGTGGGGAAATGCTGCAGGCTTAGAATGGAGGAGTTACCACCCTGAGGAACTCAAGAAAGTGCTCCTGATTCTTTTTTTTTTTTTTTTCAAAATGGAAGTATATATTTGTTGTTTTTGCATGTAACATGTTCTCTTTAGAATTATCTGAATAATATATGCTTTCCCTCTCAGTATTTTCCCCCTTCGGCCCCCTTCTCCCAAATAACTACTGCAAGCAGGAATATTTTCATCAACTTGAGTAACTTCCATCATGTACAGTTTTTTTCTTTTTAAAGATTTATTTTTATTATTTTTTTATTGGAAAGGCAGATATACAGAGAGGAGAGACAGAGAGGAAGATCTTCCGTCTGATGATTCACTCTCTAAGTGAGCACAACAGCCGATGCTATGCCGATCTGAAGCCAGGAGCCTCTTCCAGGTCTCCCATGTGGGTGCAGGGTCCCAAAGCTTTGGGCCGTCCTCGACTGCTTTCCCGGGCCACAGGCAGGGAGCTGGAAGGGAAGGGGGGCTGCTGGGATAGAACTGGCACCCATATGGGATCTTGGGTGTGCAAAGCGAGGACCTTAACCACTTGCGCCACTGTGCTGGGCCCCATCATGTACGGTTTTAGGCTGTGCACTTTGTTTTGTTGCAATATCATGGGACTGTTTTTTATGTCTGTATTGGATGATCTTTCAGATTTCTTCTTTTTTTTTAATTGGAAAGGAAGATCTATAGAGAAAAGGAACTACAGAGAGAAAGATCTTTCATCCACTGGTTCACTCCCCAAGTGAGCAGATCCCAAGCCAGGAGCCAGAAGCCTCCAGGTCTCCCACATGGGTGCAGGATCGCAAGGCGTTGGGTCATTCTTTACTGCTTTCCCAGTAGAGCAGCTGTGACACGAACCAGCACCCATATGGGGCCCTGGCAGATGCAAGGCAAGAATTTTGCTATGAGGCTATCGTGCTGAGCCCAACCTTACTGATTTCTTGATTGTATTTGAATAACTGTTTGATGTTTTAGTTTCATTGCATTGTCTCTTCTCTGTCTGCGTATATTCTCTTCACCTAGTTCACTCCCCAGAAAAGATTTGTAGCCTGTAGGATTGTGATTGGTCACACTTAGCCACAGCTGTACACTGAGGTGGCTTTGGGGGCATAATCAGCTTTTCTGAGCCAGGCAACATTCTGTCCATTACCTGTCAGTGACGACTTTTTTTTTTTTTTTTTTCATTCTATTTTACAGGACTAGTTCTCTTAACGTTCCCAGGTTTTTCCTGGCTTTTTCTCAGTGTTATAGTCAGCAGCCACTTTTTCTTTAAAAAGTTGTATTTATTCATTTGAAAGGTAGGGATTTAGAGAGAGGGAGAGACAAGAGATCTTTCGTCTGTTGGTTCACTCCTCAGATAGCCAAAATGTCCAGAGCTGGACTGGGTCCAAAGCCGGGAGCCAAGAGCTTCTTCCAGATCTTCTATGTGGGTGTAGGGGCTCAAGCGCTTCAGCCTTCTTCCACAGTGTTCCCAGGCATATTCACAAGGAGCAGTCAGTACTCAAATTGGCTCTCATATGGGGGGCTAGTATTGCAGGCAGTGGCTTTACTCACTAAGCCACAGCACCAACCGCTCAGCTGCCACTTTGAGCGTTGGTTTTCTAGCCATTCAGCCTCCTTATTCTTTCCAGTAGGCACTGAGCTCAAGGTAGATGCATAAGTTAGCTTCTCCCCCAAGAGATGAAATTGTTGCATTGAACTTTGGCAGGTGCTTTGGTGATTAGAACTGATCCTGAAGAATGAGGATAATTCCCTAATAATGATAAATTCTAGCTTCACCAAGAGACTTGGGACAATTTCTTGTTGACATGGAGACCATCTCAGACTCCAACTGTTGGCTGCCATATTCACCTACTCTTCATGGGATCTGACCAGTTACGCTACCATGGCATGTTCTCCATGATGAGTCTTTAATGGCCTAGCCAAGGATAAATTAAGGATTGCTCACATTGAACTTCACTGATGGATTGAAGGTAATAGCAAGAAAATATACATCTGAGTACCTGAAAGGGGTAAATCTGGCCTCTAGAATGCCTGCTCTCTGGTGCTTCCAGTTGCCACGTTTTGTAGTTGTCTGCCTTTCTCTGAGTAACCAGTGCCATCTTAGCTGTACCCATCATCTGGATTACAGATCTAGAGAATGCTGCTGTGTCTGGAGCTTGTATTCCTGACCAAAATGTCTTATCTACCTGCCTCTAGCTTGGCTCTGCCTTCTGCGTCCCAGGCTCTTAGATGATGATCCACCTATTCTTTCATTTTCTTTAAGATTTTTGTTTTTTTAACTTGAAAGATTTACACACAGAGAAAGAGAGAGGTAGAGGCAGAAAGACAAAGAAAGAGGTCATCCATCTGCTGGCTCACTCCCCAAATGGCCACAGTAGCTGAGTCTCCCACTTGGATGCAGTGGCCCAACGACTTGTGCGTTCTTGTGCTGCTTTCCCAGATCATCAGCAGGGAGCTGGATGGGAAATGGAGCAGCCAGGTCTTGAATCAGTGCCTACATGGGATGCCAGCACTTCAGGGGAGGATTAGCTATTATGATGTTGTGTTGGCCCCACCACCTTTTTATTGTAAAGATTATGTATTTCAAAGTTACAGAGAGGGAGAGGCATCTTCCATCCACTGGTTCACTTCCCTGATCTCTAACAGCCAGTCCTGAGCCAGGCTGAAGCCAGAGTGGTTCATCCAGGTCTCCCATGTGCTTGGTTAGGGGTCCAAGTATTTGGGACATCTTCTGCTTTTTCTAGGCCCATTAGAGGGAACTGAATTGGAAGTGGAGCAGCCAGGCACCCAAATAGGATGGTGGCACTGCAGCCAGTAGCTTTACATGCTGTGTCACAGTGTTGGCCCCAAGAATCCACCTGATCTTTACGTAACTGATATTAAGAAAGGCTGCCCCTTTTAAAGGAGCTGTTTGCTTATCCTAGGTAGAGTTTCTTTGCTGAGTCTGACATTAAGCAAGCTGTGTGTTTCCCAGGCCCACATTTGGGGCAGGGAGGATGTCTTATGGACAGCTTGTGGTAGAACTGGGTGAATCACCAGGTCATTCATTGATTTTCTGCCACAACTGTCTCTGAGATTTAGCACATCACACACCCTTTGCTCAGGCTTGATGCCAACAGATCAGACCAAGCAGGGATATGGGTAAGGGCTGTCCCGCTGAGATAAAGGGATGGAGTGTGTTTCCTAGACAGTTGTTTCCAGCCCTGGGAATGCCAGGGCTCTCCGTACTGGAGTCCTTCGTGGGCCCCTGGATCACAGCAGACTGAATACGGGATCACCCCTGTCCTGAAGCAATCACCACGTGTTTATGCAGCACTTACTTCTGAACCATTCACACTGTACACAGTATAAGCAGCTGTAGATTCTGCCAATTTCAATACTGCCCACTTCTAGTAGCATTCCTAGTAGGTAACTATTAAATTGTGGTGGTGAGACATGTAACAGCATTTCCTTCTTACCCACATTTTCATTGTATAACTCAGTGGCATTAGGCACGTTCACATTGTCCAGCAGGCATCAATCACTATCATCCATTTCCAGAACTTTTTTCATCTTGGAACACTATAGTTTTTGGCCATTAGGCACCAAATCCCCATTCCCTCTTTCTCCTCACTACTGGCAGCCACCATTCTGCTC